ATGTCACCAGAAGGAGCCACTCCCTCCCTGTTCTTTCCCATCCCTCTCTGGCAAATCCTAGCAAGTTCTCATGCGGTGAGCAGACCTGACATCAAACCAGAACAGGCACATTACGCTTTCTGCACCAAAAAAGAAGCAGAGAGGTTCCAATGCCTCTCAGTTTTAGGTAGGAGAAATAAAAATGGAAACAGCTAACATTTATAGAAATCCTCTCGAGTCTCAGGCAGTTCAACACATCAACTTTACCTTAAAAAGGTGTGATTCATTGGGTGGTGGTGGCCCACGCCTTTAATCCCAGCACTTGAGAGGCAAAGGCAGGCGGATCTCTGTGAGTTCCAGGCCAGCCTGGTCTGCAGAGTAAGTGCCAGGATAGCCAGGACTACACAGAGAAACTTGTCTCGAGAAAAAAAATATGTAATTCAGTAGATACTATGACTTTTATGTAACAAGATGGAGGCCAAAAACAAGCAGCCAACATCCTACAGTGGACGTGATCCTGTGATGCCTTTTATTCTTATTTGATTATAACATCCTAGAGTGGGCGTGATCCTTTGATGCCTTTTATTCTTATTTGATTATAAGCCTAGCAGAAGTCATTCTATATAATAGGTTACTGTTCTCACACTGACCAAATACCTGACAAGAAGCAATTTAAGGTAGGAAGGGTTTATTTTGGCTTGCAGTTTGAGGGACTGCAGTTCCACTGTGGTAGGGAATAGCAGTGGAAAGGGTGGTGGTAATGGGGGCATGGAACATCATATTCATGTCTCAGTGGATTAGGAAGCAGAGAGCTTGGGTTGGAGCCAGGATCAGCTGTGACCAATTATTTCTGTCCTTAGAGCCTGGGTCTTCCAGCTAGGCTACATGTCCAAGAGGTTTCACAATCTTCCAAAATAGCACCATGAGCAAATCTAGTGTTCAAATAAGTAAGCCTGCAGGAGACATATCACATTTGGACCATCACGCCCACCTTCAGCCTCTACTGGGTGCCTTTTCAAAACGCCAAATGCATTCGGTATAACCCCCAAAGTCACCATAGTCTTATGGTGCCAACACTGTTCAAAATTCCAAATCCCCAAATCACTTCTGAGATTCAAGACAGTCCCTTAATTATGAACCCCTGTAAAACTCAAATACAAGTTTCATATTTCTGGCATTAGATGGTACTGAGTAAACACACCAGTTTCTAAAGGGAGGAATAGGAGGACAGCAAGGAAGGATCAGGTCAAAGCAAGCCTGAAGCTCAACAAGGCAAATATCAACCCCTGTATCTTCACATCTCCAACCTAGGGCTCATAGTGACGTCATGACTGCGTTTGTTGAATTTGCAGTGAAGTCATAAGAATGCCACACTCTGATGCTGTGTTGCCTTGAAACAAGAATCCATCACTTCTGAGTCCAGTCTTACTCAGAATCTGTGTAGGATGAATGTTTTGGTCAGATGTAACATGAATGGCTTCTAGTTCAGGTCCCCTTGATCACTTCGATAGCCCCAGGATCTGGACCCTTGCTGTCTGTGCTTCAATCAGCATTTCATTCTTCCAAACTCTAGCAGCTCATGAGGCTCCATTTACAGACTTCTAAGACGCCTGTAGCCCACAGCTCCAAGCTCTCCCACACTCTTCCTTTAACTAGGTCTTGAGGCCCAGCAACCACAAGGACATTCTTACCAGAGCAATGGCCCCACCGCTCAGCACCAATTTTCTGTATAATCTATTTTCCTCATTGCTGTAGCAAACACCCAACAGGTAACAACCTAAATGAGAATGCATTTATTCTAGTTCAGGGATTGAGGGGATATAGTTCAGCATGGCTGGGGAATCTTGGTCAGGAAGCTTGAAGGCAATGGGAATGTCCCATAAGCAGATCAGAAGGCAGACAGATTGGGTCGGAACCAGGGCAGGCTTTATAATCGTCTACCCTCCCTGCCCTGGCCTTGTATCTGCCAACTGGACAGATAACAAAAGGTTCTACAATCTTCCAAAACACCAGCAGCAGCTGGGAATCAGGCAGATGAGTGTGTGACACTTGACATTCAAGGCATAACACATTCCTTTCTCAATGTGTCATCTGTGAAAAGGAGTCCAGTGCACAGAGACAACCATCAGCCACCGAGAGCACCAAGCACTGCACTCTGCAATCAGACCTTGATGATACACTCAGACTTGGGCAAGCATTCGAGGCAGCTCCTGCTCTGGTTCTTCAGTCTTTTGCTGGGTCTGAATGTTGTCTCTAAAATAATAATTTTCCTCTGAGAGTCATTCCATCTCTGTCTTCCCTCCTGCTGCTGCCTCTCAGGAAACTCTATGGCTTGGCATGTCTCACTCTCTAAGGGCATGGAGGATTTATGTCCTTTTGCTTGGCAAACAGCTATGTATGGAATGGGCATGACTTGCTGAACACCTTCAGGTAGGAGCAGGGGACCTGTAGAGTATTCAAGTAAAGCCTTCCCAGCCTGGGCGAAGCAACACTGGAGAGACGTAATTGCCTGTGCTCCATCCAGTGAACATTATTTAATGTTCCCAGGTAGGTGGCTATGGTGACAGGAAGAGAGACCAATGCCCCCAGTGTCCTGGCTTTTAATGGTGACACTTGGCTTTCTCTATTTGTCTATGTCTTCCTGGCTTTTTGCAGGAAGAGGAAACTCTATCTCAGGCACAAACTAGGGAGTTCTGAACTTGAGCCATAGGGCTCTATTCTGTGGGACTGAGCCAATCCAGGGGCTGAGTATGTCAGAGTTTGGATCCCAGGGTTCTGTGCAGAATAAAGCACGAGACATAGGATATTGGTGGGGGAAGCATCATGCCTCCACTCTTCTCCCCACACCCACGCCTTTTTATATTCCTCTCTCATCCCTCCCAGTCAATGTCCAGGCATGTAATTTTCCTGAGACCATGAGCCATGATCGTTTCCACATACAAACACAGAATGACTCGTCAAGTCCATTCTTAACATAGAATGGCATTCAGTGTTTGTTGAATAAATAATACTGGTCATCTCATTCCTCCCCGAAGCCTCAGCCCTCAATCCCAAAGGCAGCTCTGATAGTCTCTGGTAGGGTGACAAAGCATGCTCCCCACATTTAGGGCAGAGGATTCTCTGCCCTAAACCAGTTGCCGACCAGTGAACTCACTGAGGAATGGGAAAGATGACAGATTCGCAGGACACAGCCCAAGTTTCTCATCTTACAGAGAAGGAAAGAGGACTTAACCAAATACTTTTCCCATGCTATCTAGCATCTGGGAGCAGAGGCTGCTGATTCTTAAAATCTACGAGTTAACCACCTCTAGAAACACTAGTTGATGTGGGCCTAGCACAGGCCTGGGTACTGCAGTTGCCAGATGAGTCCCTAACCCGGGCTTCCCCAGCATAGGCTGTAACAGTAGGCCCAGCTCTGAGGCTCTTATCCTGCAGTGACTCATCCAATCCCTACCATGGCAGGTCACCTGGGAAGGGTGACAATTAGTTTTTACTGCATTGTTCAGCACAGAACCTGTGTCCTATATGCTCTAGATCAAATATGGACTTGGTATTAGAATGTGCGTGGAAGAAGAAGAAAACAGACAAAGCCTATAAGGGGAGCAGGATCGCTCTTGTCCCCCCAGAGGAGAGAGACAAATCACAGTCACCTGGGAATGTGGGGCCAGTTGGACAGAAGAAGTCAGTGGAAAGGAAAGGGACAAAAGGCCCAAGATGGAACATGGGGGTAAGGAGGGTGGAAATCATGGTCTTTCTCTTCCTCCTGGAATGCTCTGGGTACCTGCATCATTTCCTGGGTATCATTTCAGGACACACTACCTAACATGGCTGGCAGAACAGGAAAGGGTAGGGGAAAGAGGAGAAGGCAAGAGAGGAAACAGACCAAATGGGAACTGCAGGAGCTTATCAATTCTCACTGCTCCATTAGGTGTGCAATCTCAGGCCCCGCCCCAGTTTCCAGAAAGCAGGGGTAGGGCATTAGTTCTGCCTAACCAATGACACCCTGAGATCCTTCCAGCAGGGCTCAGCCCTTGCTGCCCTACCTGCACTGAGACACACTCCCCGTCCACCATCAGCGGCTTCAGACTGTGCAAGGAGCTGCCGTCTGGGTTTGTAAGTTCTCCCAGACCATGAGGTATGCCAGGATACCCAGCCTCATTCTCAGGGAGCAAGTGGTTCACCTGCACAGCCAAACCCCCCACCCTCTCACAGATGGGACACAGAATGCTGTGCCATGTCTACTTTGCAAGAGGGCCATGACTGTTCCATGAACAGAGGTCAACTCTTTAACCATCCATCCAGCGTTTGCCCAAAAAGGTCACATGACCCTCCACCCCTCAGCCCCTTGTCTCTCTCTCTATAGCCTTTGCTGGAGCAAGAATAAGGAGGACAGGCTTCCCCCGGGGCCTAGAGTAGAACTTGTGGACACTTCTCACCTTTCTCAGGGGAAAGGCAGATCCAAGGCTCTGGTCTTCATCCAGAGGACTGCCACCCTGTCCTCTGGAGATGTCCCCACAGCCCTCAACCCAACCATTTACTGCAGTTTGAGACATAGGTTCTTCGGTGGAGATTCTGTTGGTAAATTCATGTTTATGGACTTTTAGTATTTCCCTGTTTTAATAATACTCATCCGAGCTCCGTTTTCTCCATGTTTTGCCTCTATCAATATGAAAATGAGCCTTGGCACGGTGGTGTCCTGGGGCTGCTGGGACAGGCGCAGAGAGGAGGTAGGTTAAGGGGCTGTCTCTCAGAAATGTGCTGGAGCTGCACAGTTCATTAATTACTGTTTATATCCCCTCCCCACACCTGTTTCTCATGCCCTAGGGTGTCCCTAGAGTGTCCAAAGGCTCCAGGTTCATCCTGCCACCAAACAAATGACTACACCTATAGCCACTTGGCTGGCTATAGGAAGCTGGAGCAAGAATTCCCATCTCCCAAGAAACCACCAAAATAATGAGAATTCTTGGGTCCAGGACATGTGTGGAAGGAGGGAGACCAGGGGATGTGTCGTGGGCACTCACTCCAGCACATCGCGGTTGAATTGCTTCTTGCTATTGCCCAGGAACTCTCCAATCATCTGGCGGCTGAGGCCTTTCCGCTGCAGGAGGAAGTGGGCCACACCGATGGGGGTGTCGGGGATGAAGCCACGTGAGATCAGGAACTGGATGCCCTTGTCCGGGTTTCTGTAGCAGGGGTTGGAGTGGGGAGGAGAGAGGAAGCCAAGGCTGTTGGGAGCTGCTGTCTTGACTCCTACACACCTGGGAAATCTACTTCCCAGGGACCACCATGGCGCCCCTGGGAACAACCTTCACTTGAACATCATGGCGGGGGGGAGGAGTATGGGGCTTGAATCAGAAAAATGTCTGACTCAGCAAGAATCCAGAGCATGGAGAGAGGCTCCCTTCTCTGTCCCTGCCCTACTATGGCTCTGGACAGCCGGAAACGCCCCTCAGGTGGTCTGGGGGTGTACTTCATTCACACTGCTCCTGGAGCTGGGGGTCACTGGCTCTGAGGAGATAAATAAGCCCCAGAAACCTTTCCTCAAATGTTTGACATTTTCAAGCTATTATCCTGTGACTGCTTTCCTAGCAATTCATTTGTTTTGTGTTTTGCAAAGGTTCTGTCCCCTATGTGGGGGAGGTGATCAAACCAGTTCTTCACTAGGGAGAGGTTGGATGGGAGTATCTGATTTCATGTGCCTGGATGTTATTCTGTGAAATAGAAGGATGTTCCCTATCTCTAGATACTGCTGGGAGGATTGCAGGTGAGCTATGAATGGCATCTTGAGGCCAGAGGTCATGTCTCACTCATCTGTCAGGTACAGGCCTGGCATGCAATAAATAATAGTTGCATGAATAAATGAATTCAGGAAAGGATTCATGCCCTGGTCTGAGAACTATGAGAGAATGGACGAGGAAGGGTAAATGAGTGTCTCATGGACTTTATGGACTTTTTGTCCATAAAGAGAGGGAGGTGTCTACCTCCTCTGTGTCACCGAGTGGCGATGTGTTTTGTTGCACCCAGTCTTGTTTGGGTCTCTGAGCTATGGCTGCTATTAATTTCTCTCCTTCCATTTCGTAATTCCTTTTCTATCCCACTTGCTTCTCTATCCTTCCTTCCTGTCCTCTTCTCCTCTTACCTATTATATCACTAAAATTATCTAAAAATAAGTTCTTGCTGTGGGGAGAGGGAATGGCCTTTGCAGGCCATCAGAGGACAGCTCCGGGGAGTCACGTTTCTCCTTCCACCTTTATGTTTGTTCTCCGGTTGGCAGGCTCGCACAGCAGCTTCCTTCGCCAACTGAGCCTTCTCAACCGGGACTCTATCTCATTTTTACACTGGTTCGGCTCTCTCCACAATGCTTCATTTTGTGACCCCAGTGTAATAACACCGTTTTCCCAACTTCATTTTTATTCTCAATGATCCTGCTTGGTCTTCATACTGCCTGTGCTCAACTCTGTATTTTCCCACTTTCCAAGTGACCACTTCATCTTAAAAAGCAATTGTTGTGAAAAACCTATGCTTGATGCGTTTGTTGTTGGTCATTGGGAAAAATACGATGTGTACTTCTTAAATTCCCTGGGAGCTTGGGCGAGGGGTATCAGGCCAGGCAACAAAAAGTACCTGGAAGGACCCTGGGAAGATGCTGTTAGGACTTGGTACCCGATAAGTCCTCCTTTGGTCCCTCCCTCCAGTCCTTCCAAAGCTCACTCACATGTTGAAGAGGTTGAGGCCGATGCGGTACAGCCGCTTGCGCAGGGTGTCGGTAGAGAGAGTGGGGGATCTGCAGCTGGCCGGGTTCTCGCAGTGGTAGCGCGGCAAGCTTAGGATCACCGCCTGCAGGGCCTCCTTCGAGGCAGCGGCAGAAACCTCTGAGCCAGATTTGGCGGACTTGGTGGATGCACTGCTGCTGCTAAGCTGCTCAGAGTTGTCGCCTGCTTCTTCGGCCCCTTTCCCTGCCTGCCCAGCCTCTTCCTTTTCCTCCTCTACCTCCACGGCCACTGCCTCCTCAACCACGGCCTCCTCCGCAGCCACTGGTCCATGTGCGCCCTGAGCGCAACTCTCTGCTGCTTCTGAGTTCTCACTCGGGGGTTCTGTCTGTTCCGAGACTGGGGTTTCAGAGACCTCCTGAGCCACAGCGTCTCCCTGCTCGGTTTGGCCAGCCGCTGGTTCGGCTGTGGCCTGGGTGGTCTGTGAGCCCAGACAGTTGGCCACAGACAGGGCGGTGGAGGAGGAAACAGAGATGTTTTGGTTAGCGATCTGCACTGTGACATCCCGGAAAGCCATCATGAGGGTACTGCTGTGACCCTGCGGCAGGCTGCCTGTCTCATCTCCAGATCCTGGGCCACTCTCAGGCTCCCGCGTCTCGGCCTCCAGGCCTGGCTGTCCTGCACTAGGGTGCAGGGCCTGGTGGAGCTGGTACGCGCCACTCTCCTGCAGTGAGCACATGGTCTTGAGGCTCCAGGTGTTGAGGGCGTCGTCGATGGACTTGGCCAGGGACTGCACCTGCTCGGTGAAGGAGTCCTCCAACTCTGTGAGCGAGCCTGCAAAGGTGGGTGGCAGGGTGGGCGTGCGCCCCAGTGGCAGCCCCAAGAGCCCGCAGCCCTCCAGGAGAGCTTTCTCAGCCACCAGGCTTTCGGCTGTGGGCGCTCGCACTTTGCGCAGCGAGATCCGACGGGGTAGGCGGCTTTCCAGGAGCGAGTTACGGATCTTCTCAAAGTTCTTGCTGAGCTGATACTGGCGGAAAGCGGTTTGGATGGTGCACGCGGCGCGTCGGGATACCAGGTGGCCCCCGTATTTGTGTTCTAGCATTTCAATCTGTAGCAGGGACAGAGAAAGGCTCAGTTAGGGAGGGTGGAGGCAGCATGGATTAGATCAGTACAGTCCACCACTGGACCCAGGTTCTGGGTCCCCCGTGCACAAAGCGGCTTCACTGGGAGCCCACATCCAACGACCCCAGACCTTGGCAAGACTCCAAAGGCAAGATGGAGGATTACACTCGGGATTCGTGATGTCCCCTATGGCAGTGGACAGAGGTGTTGGGATGGAAGTCCCATTTAGCTAAACGTTCTATTAAAGAACACATCAGAAACACATGCCGAAGTATTTATGAGTAAAATACATACCCCGAATTCGTATTGAACACAGTAGAATGTACTAGCTAGCATGGTATTAATATTAATAAAACATTAATAAAGATGTTTTGAGCCTGGTGATGGCTGCATGGGAGTTTATTACCCTATTGTTTCTGCCTTGATGCATAATTAAAAATGAAAAATTAAACAATGATGTTAATATCAATCAAACAAAAACCAAAAGTCTCAGGGCTCATTTCACTGCCCTGGGATGCTTCTGTTTCCCTGGAAACACCAACAGCTTGGCCTGTGGGTTCGACCATCTTTGATAGAGCAGTTCCCAGTTCAGATCCCAGCACATGGGAAAGGGTGGATAAACGTGAGCAGTATGAGATGGACAATGGCCCACGTGTAAGGTCCCCTCCAGGGATGATGATCCAAATCACCTCTGTATCAATAGGAGCTGTGCAGCAAGGGCCAGGCTTGGTCAGGGCCTCCTCTGAGCATTGCTCCCAGCATCCCTGTGTTCAGGGTTTTGTCTCACTTCCTTCTGCCCTGTATCTTCCCTCCCCCCCCTTGAGTTACTATCGTTATTGCTTTCTCCATCAAAATTTCTCAAGAAAGGATTAGGGAGACATGACTCCTGTGTCCATCCTGCCCCCCAAGTGACCCACCATTTTTAACCATGCCTCTTGGAGGGCTTTGAATGTAATCAAAGAGTCAGGCTAAAACTAAGGAGACAGGCTTAATGAATATCATGATTCACTGGTAAGAAAATGTGTACCTTGACTCTGAAATCATGCCTTTCACTCATTGTTGTCCTCCACGTACACACTAACCTTTTGTTACTACAAATCCGGATGAATGGACTGGAAGTCACTAGAACTCTGACATTCCCATGTTCTTCAGGAACCTGGATTGGGGGGGGGCACTGGTAGATTTGCTATCCACGAAGCAATGGAAAGGCAAATCCATCCTTCTGTGTAGCAGTATAACCTGCTTCATGATATAGCCCACCAAAGGCCGTGTCTGAGATGACGGGTACAGGCTCCAAGCATCAGGAGGAAGCACTAACTACCCTGGCATCAGACTCATGTGTTACAGGGGGTCTTCAAAGTGACATTCAAAAGCATACTAGGATGGGCACAGAGACACAGCTCAGAGGCAGAGGCCTTGTCAAGTTTGTGTAAGACCGTGGGTTTCATCCCCGATGCTGCTGCTTTGAAAAGAATCCTGTGTTGTTGTCTGTCAAATTATGAAACACGTAGCAGCTTAAAATAACACATGTTTATTTTCTCAGGTTCTTTACATCAACAGTCTGGACACATTTCAACTGGGTTAGTGCAGACTTTTGGAGGACACTTCCATCTGGGCCAAGGCTACATCTCCCTTCTAAGCCTCAGTGGATATGCTATAGCTCAGCACTGAGAATCCATGAAGCCATGATATTCTTTTCTGTCCAGTGTGATGTCTACAAGAGCAGGAACAGATCCCCTGGGGCAGAGAGCTAGGTTTCATAGAGGTGCGTGAGGAGTTACATAGAGAAATGAAGCAGCTACCCTCCAGCTGTGAGGTAGCTGAAATTCCAAGATGGTCCCAAGGAGAACTCACCCTTCTGTACCTACTTCTTTTCCTTTGAGTTTAAACTGGCCTAATTAATGTGAAAGACACTATTCCTGTGAGTTTCCAGTGTATTAGAAACACATTTCCAGTCAACTACCAGTTAACAAAAGGGAAACCGTCCTTGTGGAACATTTAACTGCCTAAAGATATATTACGTTTGTTTATGCTGTGGAATGTTACTTTAATTGTGTAAAGGTCGTTACATTTGTTTCTGCTGCCTTGTTTAATTATGGGAGAACTTGCTGCATCTGTTTCACCTTGACTGCCTAAGGCACCTAATTGGTCTAATAAAAAGCTGAACAGCCAAGAGCTAGGCAGGAGAGGGATAGGCTGGGGAGATAGAATAAATAGGGAAGAAGAAGAAGAAGAAGAAGAAGAAGAAGAAGAAGAAGAAGAAGAAGAAGAAGAAGAAGAAGAAGAAGAAGAAGAGGAAGAGGAAGAGGAAGAGGAGGAGGAAGAGGAGGAGGAAGAGGAGGAGGAAGAGGAGGAGGAAGAGGAGGAGGAAGAGGAGGAGGAAGAGGAGGAGGAAGAGGAGGAAGAGAAGAATGAGAAGAAGAAGGAGAAGAGAAAGAGGGAGAAAGAGAGGGACATGCTTGGGGCCAGAAACCAGGCAGCCACCAGCCAGCCTGACACTGTAGGAAGCAGGAAAGTAAGACATACGGAAGGAAAGGTAAAGGGCTTGGAGGCAAAAGGTAGATAAAGAGAAACAGGTTAATTTAAGTTAAAAGATCCAGTCAGAAATGAGCCTAAGCTGGGCGGAACATTCATAACTAATACATTTCTGTGTTGTGATTAGGAAGCTGGTTAGTGGCCCAAAAGAAAATGTCTGGTGCCCGTCCTGATGGGTCTGATGCAACTGGGTAAACCTTTTAAAGTAAGAAAAAACCCAAGGTGGATGATTTCCTGTGTGACCCAAAGGAAGAAACTGCCATGTTGTGGAGAGTTAGATGAACAACACCCCCTTTACCCGCATTTTAAAATCCTATTTCAAGGACCATGGTGAACTCACTCAAGGCCCAGACTTTGTATCTCTTTCCCACTGGCCCTTTTCTACTTCCTGGAGAACCAAGACCCAAGAGCATCTTGGCAGGGGTTAAGATTCCATAAGCAACTGAAAGAAGATACAAAGCCCATTACCTAAGATAGTTCTAACATGGTAAAGAATCTATCTGCTTGGTATGGTATTATATTGATTAGTATTTGTCAATTTGACACAATCTAGGGTCATCCAGGAAGAGAAAACCTTAATCAAAATAGTCTTCATCAGATTGGCCGGTAGGCAATTCTTTATGGCATATTCTTGATTAATGTTTGATTTGGAAGGGTCCAGCCTAGTGTGATAGTGCCACACCCCTGGATAGATGGCCCTGAATTGTGTAAGAAAGCAAGCTAAGCAAACCATGGAAAATAAAGCCAGTGAACAACATTTATCATGGTCTCTGTTTCAGTTCCTGCCTCTAGGTTCCTACCTTGAGTTCCTTCCTGCCTTGGCTTCTCTTAGTGATGGGTTATGACCTCTAAGCCAAATAACCCCCCTTTCCCAAGTTGCCTTTGGTCATGATGCTTATCACAGCAATAGAAAGCAAACAACAATAGTTATCATCACACCCAGAGTCAGAAGACTGGCCAAGATGAACCCAGGAGGGTACATCTTCAAGATCAATGTCTATACTGTGTAAAGAAGCCACACTTCAGATTCCCGTTCCTGCCCTACCAAGTCCTTCCTACACTTTAATCCTCTATGATTCAAATCTGAAGTGTCTCCCAGTGGCTCATACTTTGATGATTGTACCCCAGTTTGTAGCACTGTGTTTTTTTTTTGGAGGATGGGAAGTGTAGAACCTTTTACGGAGGTGAGCATCTATCTGGTGGAAGTAGTAAGTAAGGATAGTTATAGCCAGCTCTTCCCCCATCATGCTGTCATTTCTGATGAGGTGAACAGTCCCCACCACCATGAGCTGAGATGCTACACTATGCTTTCTCTGAAGTTATGGACCAAGCCCTCTCAGACTGTGAACCAAACTACGTGTTTTCAAAATTGTTTCTCTTAGATATTGTGGTTACAGCAACACAAAATTAACCAGTACAGAAAACGGGTGCCACAGAAGAGCGTGTTACTGTACCTAAATCTGATCTTGAGGTTATTAAGCCTTTGGAACTGGTTTGTAGGAAGAATTTGGAAGAGTTTGCAGATATGAGTTTGAGAATCCCTAGAGCGCTGTCAGCAGAGATTAATCGGTTGAAGCTTTCGAGGCTGGGAGGCTGGTGATAATGTGGATAGCAAAGACTGTGCTCATGAGATTTCAGATGGGAACAGGACTCTACTGGGAATTGGGCTACAACTGTTTGGATACAGCTTGCAGTTTGTTTCATCCTGCCTGTACCCTGAAATTTTAAGTAATCCTGAATTTAAAAGTAACAGGAATTTCAAGACAGCATAGCTCTCAAGTTGTGATAGGGTTTTGTTGAGTGCTTTCAGCCAGGTATGTAGTCACCATTTGGAGCAAAAACAATGCAGAAAGATATGAAAAACATTCTCCAGAATAGCAGCTGTGCTGGTTGGTTTTATGACAATGCCTCAAACTAAAGTCATCCAAAAGGAGGGAAACTGAATTAAGAAAATGCCTCCATAAAAGCAAGTCTGTAAAGCATTTTTTTAAATTTAGTGATTGATGGGGGAGGGCCTAGCCCATCAAAGGTGCTACCATTCCTGGTTCTGGTGGTTCTGGGCTTTATAAGAAAGTAGGCTGAGTAAGCCTTGAAGAGCAAGGCAGCGAGTAGCATGCCTCTAAAGCCTCTGCATCAGCTCCTCTTTCAGGGCTCCTGCCCTCCCTGCTTTTCATGATGAACTGTTATATGGAACTGTGAGAGAAATAAACCCTTTCCTCCACCAGCTGCTTTTGGTCATGGTGTCTCATCACTGTGATAGGAACCCCAACTAAGATACATTTAAAATGCGAGGCCACAGACTGGAGGCTCCAGGGTGTAAAGCTGCAAATTCATTTAAAAGACTTACCTCTGAAAGTGGAGTGCCACTGGGGCACTCGGCTTGAAAAGAACTGCCTAGACAAGTATTTTCTCGGGTTCAACCATACAGGCTGCTGTAGCTGTGGTCTAAAA